CCTGGGCCACCTGGAGCTCCTGGCGAAGGAGCCGTGTCCAAGCCCTTAGATCCGCCGGCTCCCCCTGGCCCGCCCGGTCCGCCAGGTCCTCCCGGCCCGCCTGGACCGCCAGGTGAGCCAGGAGCCGGAGCTGCATCCGCTCCACCAGGTCCGCCAGGTCCGCCGGGACCACCAGGGCCACCGGGGCCACCGGGACCACCAGCGCCGGCCAGAAGTCCAGTCAGGTCGATAGCCCCAGGGATGCCGGAGACTCCAGGGCCTCCAGGACCACCGGCACCGCCCGGGCCGCCGGGCCCGCCGGCTGCGCTAGGAGCACCAGGAGCATCAGCACCAGGACCGCCCGGGCCACCCGCGCCTCCAGGTCCTCCCGGACCGCCGGGTCCTGCGGATGGTGCAGGAACGCCACCAGGCGAGCACGAGCACTTGGTGGGTTCTTGACTCAGCTTCGAGGGGTCGAGGCCAGCGGCTGCGCCGGTTGGGCCACCTGGACCACCTGGGCCGCCTGGACCGCCAGCACCTCCGGGGCCGCCAGCGCCACCCACGGCCTCAGGAGCACCGACAGCAGGTCCAGCAGGGACTCCAGCTCCACCCGCGCCACCTGGCCCACCCGCGCCCCCAGCGCCGCCGGGTCCGCCAGCGCCAGGAGCTGGCATACCAACGTCCTTGGGGTCGGGAGTAGGGGCAGCGCCGGGGCCGCCAGGTCCACCTTCTCCTCCTGGTCCTCCAGGGCCACCGGGGCCACCGGGGCCACTGGGCGTGCCAGGTGCTTCAGCTCCAGCGCCGCCAGGACCTCCGGCACCGCCCGGACCTCCTGGTCCACCGGGTCCGCCGGGTCCGTTGGGCCCGAGGCCCTTGGTTGCTCCAGGGCCACCGGCACCACCGGCACCGCCAGCACCACCAGCGCCTCCCGAGCCGCCGGGAGCGCCTGGGGCAGAGGGCGTGTCGGGCTTATCTGCACCTCCGGGACCTCCGGGGCCGCCAGGCCCGCCAGGGCCACCAGGGCCACCAGCACCAGGAGCAGGAGCCGGGCCGTTCTGACCGTCGATGACGATTTCGGAGCCATTTGGCGGCATGCTGCCGCCAGGCTTGGAGTCCTTGCAGTCTTTGTCTTTGCCCTTGCCCTTTCCTTTCCCCTTGCCCTTGCCCTTTCCTTTCTTCCCCTTCTTCTTCTCCTTCTTGCCATGCTTTCCCCCCTTCTTCTTGTCCTTCTTGCCCTTGCCTTTTGGTTTTTGACCGGGGCTGCCTGCCGGATCATCACCTCCCGGGCCTGTGTTTTGAGGCACGGCACCCTCTTGGGGTGCTGGCGGCATGACCTGCGTCTTCGTCTTCTCGGCGCCAGTCTTGCCCCCTGCGGCCCCTACCATCTTGAGGATCTCGGCGAGATCCGGCCCCCCTGCCGGTGCGGGCTGCCCGCCTGGCGCTGGGGCTGGCGCACCGGGAGCTTGCGCGCCTGATGGCTGGGAAGGGATGGGTAGTGAGTGCACTGCTGCTGCGAGCAGGGCGACTGTGACCGCCAACCTCATGGTGGCGACTGTGTTGCTGTGGGTATATGTGTGGGTGTGTGTTGTCGGATGTTATGGCTGAGAAGGCGTCCTCGGGGGTGCTGGGTTTCGGGCTTGATGTTTGACTTGGAGTATAACAAAATCACACAGAAGTGTGGATGGACATTGGCTTATCCCAAGTGATTGTTTCTCCAGTGAGGATGATGGCCTCTTTTGCAAGCTATTGCGCAAGGCTGGTGGTGATGGGGTTGTTGGGAAGTGGTTGAGTGGATGATGGAGAAACCAAAAGGGAAGGCTGATGTGAAGCGGTCCGAGGCGTGGTGTTTTAACAACATCAAGTCTCCGAACCTTCCATAGCCATCCCAGACCTATCCACCCCCCAGCTTGCTGATAGCAGCATGGAGTAGGGAGACCACCCATACCAATGCTGAGGGCGCGTTTGCATCGCCATGCTGAAAGGGCAGACGCGACCGGGCGGCACGTCATACAGTCAGAGGAGTTATGCATTTCAAGGACAGAAAGCAAGCATTCTCCAATTGCGTCGAGTGCAATACCGCGCTTACGGTGTTGGCTGTGTGTTTTTGGTAGAGCCGGGGTTGCTGTGTTTGCTGTGTTTTGTTGTTGCAGGGCTGAAGAGCCGCGGGTTTACTACGGGCACGCTGATGAGCAAGGGACCCACACAGCCCGTTGGTTGAATTGGGCACAGCACCAAACAGCGATGTGCGTGCGGCGTCCAGCGCAGTCCAATCCTCAATGCCGGGCGCTCGAACCACCGCAGTGCTCAATTTTAGCACCCACGCGCTCCTCTAAATACAACCTGTGCGTTGATGCAGAATTCACATTCATATCTCTCGATGGGCGGTTAATCGCGAAAACTATAGGTCGCAGAATCGGAACGACGTTGGTTTACGCGCAAGAAAACTAAAAGGCAGCCGGCAACGGCAAGTACAATCCGAGAATAAAGGTTGGTGCACAACCATGACCGAGGCCAGAAGGCAGGCGGCAGTCTCGTGCTTTTAGGGGGTCTGCTTACTCCGCCCCTTGTGCTCAGCCGCACCCAGCTTACTCCCCACCAACCATGGCTGTTACAGTGAGCAGGCCCCAGACAAAACCCATGTCTGATGGTGCCGAGTTTGGGGACTCGTGCCGCATTCTCAACTCCGACCGGATCTGGTGTGCTGGCTCGGCTTGGGCTGCTCGACCGGGCCGATGACTTTGCACGAACCGTAAGGAGCCGGGAAGGCTCTACTACACTACCAAGAGGGAAGGGCTGTGCCACCTCCAGATGATCCTCCCCCATCACTGCCAGCTCCCAAATAACAACAGCCAGTAGCGGGGCTTGTAATCGAAGTTATGCTCCGCGACTGCTCCTCTCCTCGAGATTAGAGTGTGCGTTACACTCCGCGCGTGAGATGCTGAGTAGTTGACGGACGTGTGGCGGGATACCAGGGGCGTAAAAAAACCAACGTTTCACACGACGACGCCAGCTTTCATGTTGGCATCGGGCAAAAGGAAATGTTCTCGACAACGACAAGATTCGAACTTGTGCGGCCGAAGCCATTAGATCGCCCGACACCTGGAAGCAGGTGCACGATTCGAGTCTAACCCATTAACCACTCTGGCACGTTGCCTGCTGCGAACATGGTGGAGAACATGGCAGTTGTTGCAGTGAAAACGTCCCCAACCCTCATCATTGGCGAGGGGTCCAGATAGTTAGCCCTGGCGGCACCTCCCCAGCCAAATACTGCCACTAACTAATATCGAATCGAAATGAATAAGTTGGTGTTATTCGAATTTAACCCATTAAATACGCACATTTAATGTAATTTTTTGTCGTACGCTTAACGTAGGCAATCTTTACGGCGGATAGCAAAGGAGCGTGACAAATACCAATATTAGTCCTCAGTGGCTGCTCTGACCGCAACCACTCCACCAGGACATCTGGTGCAGTGACCCACTGAAGGGTGTGTCGTATAGGGGTTAGTACACTTCGTTGTGGCCGAAGAAACGCAAGTTCGAGTCTTGCCACGCCCAGAACTTTTTGCCCCTCTTGCGTTTATTTCCTCCAATTTTGTGCTTGTTTTCCCCGCCTTTCTAGCCTCGCGCTTTTTGCACTCGCACCCTGAGAATTTCAACGTCTCTCGTTTCCCGGACTTTGTGTTCTACGAGAATGCTAGGTAAAGCTCATGGCCCCGCCCGTTTTCTAGGATTCTAGTCGCCTAAGAAACCTCCAATAACCAGCCATCCGCCTGCTTCTCTCCGTCCGCCGTCGAGCCTCCCCACATAAAGACCCCCTTGCCCCCGAGGCACGGCGTCGCTCCAAAGAATGCAATCGGACCCGGGTGCGCCTTGCCCTCGTGCCCCAGCATCTCGGTCGGAACGATCTCGACCTCGGACCACGTCAGCGACTCTGACGCGACGCCCGGCAGCTTCTCGCGGATGGCATCCTTGATCGACGATGGCGTGAAGGCGCTGGACGGCAGCTGCAGCGACCACACGTCCGGCTGGAACTCCTGGCCCGCTTTCGCCTCCGCGGTCGTGGCCCCGAACATGTATATCAAGTGTCCCCGGCCGTAGCCAGTCGACACCGGCACGAGCGCCCCGCCGTCGCGCACCTTGGGCCCCGGGGCGAGCGGGTTCGACGGGAAGTCGACGCGCTCCCAACGCAGCGTCTTCTCGCGCTCATCGGCGGACCTGCCCAGCTTGAGAAAGTGCACCGTGGCGCCGAGCGACGAGCTGCTCCCCTCGATTCCCGGGTCAGTCGAGACGACGAAGAGGGTGCCGTCCGAGAAGGCGACGTTGGCCGCGTCGGGCGACGCGACGGGCGCCGGCGGCAGCTCCATCCATGCCAGGGTGTTGAAGTCGTACAGCCACGTCTCGGCGCTGGGGCCGGCGGCGGTGCGGCCGCCGTGCAGCACGAGCACGTCCTGGCCCTCGTCGACGAAGAGGGCGTGTCCCCAGCGCGGGGCGAGCGACGCACCGATCTGCACCGACGCGTGGATGCGCGCCCACTTGAGGCTGCCCGCGTCCCACAGCCAGATGGTGGCGGCGTCCTCGACGGCCATCTTGTCGGGCGGGGCGGCGCCCGACGCGTTCACGCCGCCGTGCACGAGCAGATAGTTGCCCCTCGCCGCCGCCGCGTGGCGCGTGCGGGGCCTGGGGACGAGGAGCTCGCCCGTCGTGGCGTCTTTGAGCGGGAACGCGGGGTAGCGGTCGTGGCTTCGCTGCGCCGGTGCCGTGTCGTAGGCGTCTTGGGCCGAGTGAACGGCGGTGGTGTCGTCGCGGGGACCGCTGGACAGCGTGACGGCGTGCACATCCGTGTTACAGAGCTGGCCGCCGGCCTCCTCGCCGCCGAAGATGTATGCTCTGTCGCCAATCACGGTGACGGTATGGTGGGATCGTGCGAGGCTTGATCTGGCCGGGCGAGCCACGGTTGTGGTCAGCAAACGGCATGCCTGAATCCTGTACACTCTGGGAGTGTGTCGACATCTCGGGCGGCAATACCGTCGCGGCCAGGACTCACAAAGTGTCTTGCTCCAGCGGCACCGTGACCTGGCTGAGCGTGCCCTTGAGGGGGCCTGTGGGCTTGGCCACTGCCACAGCAGCGGCCGCTTCGACGCCCGTCATGACGACCTGCTCGGCTGCTATCGCGCCTGCTGCGATCTCTGCCATTATTGCTATGATGACCGTGTAGGTCCAAAGTGCTGCTGAGTGACGGGGACTTTGTTTTTGATGTGAAGACGGATGCAAATGGCTGCGTCTCAGATGGTGGCTACAGCCCAGAAGGACACGATTGGCGGTCTTTCAAGGGACAATCCTCTCGGCCAACCCACTTGGATCCAGGAGGTGCGAACGGAGGCCGATCGATCCCGATGACGTAGTGGGCGTGAAGCCATGTTCAACACCACGTGACCAGGTGTATCCCCTTCCTTTCACCAATTCACACACATTCTAAAAAAGTGGTTTGTTTGGCCAAGTGATTTAGTATACTAGGATTTAATATCAGGGTCGTAGGTATTCAAGCAGGCAACTACAGTGTTGTTGCGTCGCCAATATATCTCTCCTTCAGTATTCCCGTCGCCCCGCCAAGCACATTCCGAAGAAACAACAGCACCAAGCTTGTTGTTCTTTATCCGGAAAAAAAGATAGGTAGAAGCGAAAATCACAATATCTACTACATCCCGAGAGGTACGCTCCTTCCCTGCGACTCGAGACCCGAAAGTCGCTTCCACTCCATTTCCACAAGATCTTCATCCGAGTTGCTCGAACCTAGGTAGGAAGTGGCTCGGCCGTAATCCCCAGATCTTCCCCAGATCTGTCGCCAATTTGGCAGGGATGGCTGCGTGGTAGTAACAAGGACAATGTGCACTGATGCGATCATCTACGAAAGGCTGGGGCCGACCACTGTTAAACGGCATAAAGTCGGAAGAGGGTGAATATCCCGGCCGACGGCACTCTCGAGAAATTCTCGGATGGGACTGTAGCACAGACGCGGTGGACACGGAACGCCATGTCAAACACTGGAGCAATAACGAGCTCGTCGAGACGGCCCTTTATAGCCATCTGCTTGAGTGCGGGCCTGGGTTGCGGTTCCCACCATCGCTGGAGAGCAATGGTTTGCCTGCATCGCCACTGCTCGTAGAGATAGGAGCCCTCTGTTCAACAGGGGTTAGGATTTGGGGCGACCGAGGGACGGGCTCTGCGATGGCGAAGTCATGGTTGAAGATGAGCGACAAGGACGTACCAAAGACGGGATTTTCCCGCACAGAATGCTAAACCTCCCACATCAAAAGCCAGACAAAAACACAGTCTGCACCATTTGAACTTTGGCCGGCGCCACTAGCGAAGTTACCATGATGGAGTAAACGAAACTCCGGCCTCAGAGGCTAAATCCACAGCACAACTGTTATCAGGTGAGAGAGGTCGTAGCGGAGATAGGATAGCTGTGTATACTATATGACCGAGTTTCCTGTGCAGTTTGGGTGTGATGGAGGAGAAGTGTCAGTCCAATTTAGCAGTTCATTTCGAAGAAATCATGGCACATATTCAGCGTATAAAAGTCCTCGACGGCATCGCCGTCAACCTGTGGAGCGACAAGCCGACCGAGATCGTGCTGGGACTTTTCCTTAGCACATTGAGAACGAAGGACAACGAGCGGCTCTGCCGCGAGCTGAACATCGTCGCTCGCGTCGCGATTTACCGCGAGGGCGACCCCATCCCCTGGAGCCCCCCCACCCGCAGCGGTAGCACGGGGGTGGTCGGCCAGACAGAGGAGAGCAGCAGCAAGCTCCTGTGCATACCCGTCTACGACCAGCGGTCCACCAACCTCCTCGAGCACTTCCCGTCCATATGCCACTTCATAAACAAGCACGCCGACGTGCCGTCGTCCCTGGACGAGCTGGCGTCGAAGCTGGGCGCCGCCGACGCCAAGGCTGGCGCGACAAAAGATGCGGTGAACGGCGGAGACGGCAGCCAAGAAAGCAAGAGGCCGCGGGCCGTGCTGGTGCACTGCGTGATGGGGATCTCGCGGAGCGCGACGGCGGTGGCGGCCTTTCTCATGCACCAGTACGGCATGTCGCGGGACCAGGCCCTCGGGCACATCGCCAAAAGACGCCCGCAGATAAACCCAAACGGCGCCTTTCAGAAGCAGCTCCTGGACTGGCATGATAAGATGAGGAGGGTTCGAGAATTCGGCAAGCCCAAGCCGGCGGTCCAAGTGCTGGAGCGTTGGAAGAGGGCTTTGCCCTTTTTCGAGAAGGATTTCGAGGCCGATTCCGAGCACCCTTTCCGGGATAACGTGGAGCACGAAGGAGTATTCCCATTCGAACTTTAGGGCGCCGTCGACACGGGAGGCCCCTGGGCCAATGAACGAGGGACAGGGATATACACAGAGTATGGTGCTGGGATGGATGTGTATTTTGGAAGGGATGGCGCCAAGCAGCCGGGGTCACAGTAGCTGCAGTGAATGACTTGGGGATGCACCTTTGTACCTAGGGAATCCGGGGCAAATTGGGGACTTCCGGAGGCAGCCCAGTACAAGTAAAAAGTCACGCCCACACATACCAAGGTTTGGCAACTGAGCAGATGGCAAATCTATCAGCATTTTATTCATGATTCCATGCCGCTGGCGGCATTCGCTTCTATGTATGTGTTCTACGCTAAGGCAAGATTTCGACTGGAAGTCGAGCGAAAAAAACAACAACGCACAACCAGACCCAAAATGAGGGCCAAAATTCACAGCACAGGAGAGGAGTGTACGAGGGAGGGAGGAAAAGCGACGTCACCGCCTTCCCGACAGCAACAAGGGAACAAATACCGTTTGCAACTCCGAAAAATCAGATCTTTTGCAGCAGCCTCCTCCCGCCGTACGCGTACCTGGCGGCGACGAAAAAGAGCACACCGACGCCCATGGTGAGGCCGCAGAACAGCTGCAGGCCCAGGTACGAGCCGCCCATGGCGCTAACGAGGGCGCCGGCGATGGGCGGCCCCGTCAGGGCGCCGAAGGACTGGATGCCGTACGCCAGGCCCGTGCGGACGCCGATCTTGCGGATGTCGCTGATCTGCGCGATCAGCGTCGGCGACATGCTGATGAAGCCGCCCGAGACGAAGCCGAAGATGACGGCGTAGGCGACGATGCCGGCCGTCGTGGCGCCGGGGATCCAGAGCGCCAGCGTGAAGACGGCCGAGAGGCCCGTGATGACGACCATGACGTTGAAGCGGCCCAGCCGGTCGGCCGCGAGCCCGGGCAGGATGCGGCCGAAGATGCTGACGGCGTTGATGATGGGGAGCAGGTACGGCGTCAGGGCCGGGTCCATGCCGGCGTGGCGGGCCTGCAGGATGATGAAGGTGAAGGGTAGGAACATGCCCCAGAAGAAGAGGAAGCTCCCGACCAGGATCAGCCGGTACACGGGGTCCTTGAAGCCGTCGAGGTACTCGGACACGGCGAGGGGCTTGGGCTGGGGAGGGAGGCGCGACTTGACCGTCGCGATGGTGACGCTGAGGAGGGCGAGGACGATGAAGGCGAGGACGCGCATGGTCCAGGGGAAGCCGATGCGGGGGATGAGGTTGAAGATCATGATGGGCAGGACGGTGCCGGCCAGGGACGAGCCGGCGGCCACGATGCCGAAGGCGGCGGCGCGGCGGCGGAAGAACCACGACGTGACGGCGGGCAGGCACGCGTTGAAGACGGCGCTGGAACCGATCGACGACACGATGCCCTGGGCGAGCAGGAACTGCCAGAATTCGGTACAGAGGCTCGTCATCATCAGGCCGAAGACGTACGTCAGGGTGCCGCCGATCAGGAGCGGGCGGGGGCCGTACACGTCGAACAGGCGGCCGAAGACGACGCCGCCGCCGACCATGCCGAACACCTGCAGCGAGCTGATCCACGCCACCGTCGACTGGCCGTGCGCCCGCAGCGGGCCGTCGACGTAGTAGGTCTGGAAGACGCCGACGCAGTTGATGACGCCAAAGGTGCAGAAGAGGCCGCACGCGCCGCCAAACACCACCGTCCACGCCTCGCGCCCGCCGTCGGGGAAGTCGCTCGGGTGGAAGCCCGAGCCGGGCTGCGGGCCTGCCGGGGCGGCCGCACCGGCGGCGGGGGTGGACAGGTCTTCCTTGGACGAGAGCGATGGGGGTGTCTCGATGTCGCGCTTTTTCTCTTCTATCCTCTCGGAACCGGTGACGTTTCCGGGGTCTTGCGGGACGGGAGTGTTCCTCCCCTCGAACGTCGATACGTCCATCTCACTGGCGCTTGTGTGGGATCTCGCCATTGTGTACTACCGCCGGGGGATCTTCTGGAAGCGCGACAGGCTGTCAAAAAGGAGGCGGAATCGGTAGGAGGATGTTGGTGATGGCCCCCTGATTGGCAAGGTCGCTAATAGCTTCACAGGATGGTCGGTTCGGATAAGGAAAAGCTTCATGTGCGGCTCAAAAATGCCCAGAAGCTAGACGGCCAAGGATAGATGGGCGGCCCGTCTACTAATAAAGGACCTTCGTCCGCATCTCACGCAGGGTGTGGGGGCCGCGTCCAGGCCTGCCCATAATCTAACGGTTGGGTGTGGCAAACAGGCTACTCCAAGCACCGATATCCCCGACTCTCCTTTTGACGAAAAGCCGCCCTTGCATGGAGCCTAACGGGCCCTCTCGCGTCTCGGCCGCATGCGTTCTCGGGCTCTGCCACGCCGTGCTCTTGTCAAGCGCGGTGCCGCCTGCCAGGGATGCGGTACATACCTCCAGGCTGGTATACGACTCACCGGGGAGATTGGTGATCACGGACCCAGCGGAAGTGGGCTGCCCAACGGACCCCCCAGGCTGAGGGTTTCATAGCTTGGTGGGATTGCGCCAAGCGATTGAGCCTGGTTGCGCAGTCTCCCGTTTGGGGGCCCTTGGACTCCTGGGTGTGTGTCGCCGGGTATGTGCGGGGTTCGCGAGTACCGGTTAAAGGCGAGGCGCGAAGCGCGAAGCCAGCCATGTCCATCCACGTGAGGATGACACCATCCATCAATGGGACATGAACGAAACTGATTCATGAAGCTAGGGGACGGTGCCATGACCAACAACATTCTTAGGGAATAAGAAGCGCACGTTTTATCACTCACGGGACTCTACATACCCCCTGCCGGCTTTAGTGGTCTGGGGCAGGCGCACGCAAGGCCGAGTCTCGCATTTCGTGCTGTCTTCTTGATGTTTGCCATTTCTACATGGCCAGTGATATTGCGTTGCAGAGGTCTTCTTTGGGACGAATCCTCTAGACTGTATGCAACAGTGCTTTAAATTCCTTATACTGCGCTTTTTTTATTCCTTCAATGTCTCCCCACTTGTGATCCGGCTGGTGCCGCTGGCAAATGTCGGGAATACTTGGACAAAGGATGAGTGGGCTATTCAATCAATGGTCCCTGGCAAATCCTGCATTTAGTAGCCGATTTCCGAGAGCCTTACAAAGCCGAGAATCATAGGCCGTTCGGATCCTAGTCTCCGCATCGGCAAGGAATCATTCCGGGGAATTTAGCGCCCGCTGGTGTCAACAATCGAGCGTCCAAAAGCATAAGCACTCGGAGCCGAGCTCATGTTATGTATGCACATAGCAAGTTGCTGATGAGAGAAACACATGGGTGCCCCAATTAAAGGTCTGACAGCCTTCCTAGTGGGCTGAAGTTGAGTCACCCCGCCTCTCCCCAAAAGTCGGCAGTCAATCGACGGGAAGCGCAGCAGCCGCCGGCGGTCGATGTTTCAGCAGACTGGTCCTTGGATTCGAGAAACAAAGACCACGGTAGTGTCCATGCCGATTCTAGCCCCTTCCTCGTTTGTTATTCCTTTCTCTCCCGTATCACTTAACCCCTAGGGATTCGAGCGGCCCCTGGCGCCGTGCCACTCGTCAGTACGAATGCGCGCAGAACCCCGGACGCCGGCCAGCTGCAGGCGATGCCCTGCACCCAACACTGTAGTCCAGGCCGTCGACAGTCGAGGTGAGCTGGTCGACCCGAGGGGCAGCCTCCCGACCGGATCAGGTGCAGAAACCGCTGCCAGGCCATGTACATCTTTTTATCGTCATAGGCACTACCCTCAAGCGATACAGCATCCGTATCATGTTGGTTAGGTGCCGTACCCATGGGCGACCTGGCCGCGAGGGCAGCATACTGCGTGAGATGCCTAGTGGCTGCTGGAGGTCCTGCATCGACCCTAGGTGGCTCTGCCGTATAGTCTTCATCAACAAATTTATCGTCATTAAACCCACTGGTCTCTCCCATGTTTCTTGAGTGGGAGAGCGGAGGCATCGTCGCGGCCAAGGTCCATCGGGTCGGCCTAGATACTGCCCCCATTCCTCCGCGAACGGAAGCTGATCCTGTTCTGATTCCAAAGAATCGGGCATTCATCGGTAAGGGTCAGCGTGCGGGCTGGCGCAGTTACAAGGGCAGCCGAGAGGGTGCCCCCTCAGGCGAAACCCACACACTGATAGATGATGATGAATATGACCTCCTTTACCAGTACTGTTTGTTTGTTTGCTTCTTATATCTCGAGATCGAAGCCTATCCACAGTATACAATCATTTCCTCCATTGCGTGCGCGACTTCTCAGCGAAGAAGGTCCCTTGCCAAGCCCCGGTCTGCCCCGGATGATGCCTTTTTTGTGACAATATCTGTGTAATTACCTGATAGAGCTTAAAGACTACGGTGACGCCTTGGCCGATGCGGAGGTTGGTGATACCAGCGCCAGTGAGACATGCCGTGTGGGCGGGTGTGTTAACCAGCTGGACTGGCAGGGAGCCGGCAGTGGCGAGACGCGCACGATGGATGCTTTTGGGCCGCGAGGGGCTCGTCAGAAGCTTCCTTTAGACCAGTTTCCCAGGCACGGCCTCCTCCTCCGGCGCTACACGGTTTCGTGGTATTCTCCCAGCCCCGACGCGCTCGTAGGCCGGGATGTCGCCGATGGAGCGACCCGCCGGCAACACCAGCAGGACTTCGACCTCAACGCCCCGGAATATCTTCAGTAACATGGCTGGAAAACTTGGGTCGCCCAGAACAACAGCTGTCCCACTGATCAATACAACGCCGGCGGTCACAGTCAGTAAGTCCCCAGCTAGAACACCGTCCCTCCTTTGGGGACGTTGGATCACCCACCTGGTCATGAACATGGACCCAGATGTCCAAGGTGCTGCACTCCTCGCATACGTCGTCGGGGGTGGTCGGGAATAGATCAGGGAGGTTTTCCCGCGGGATCCCTCTAATGATCCTTGAGGCGAAGTCGTCGTCGTAATGATGACCCCAGGTGCTCGCAGAAGTCGTAGTATCTGCCTCCAACGCCAACTCTTTACGGTTTAAATGGTCCACTCGATCCTGGTTATGATACCCATGGATCCGTAATACCACCACTCCCATGAAAGATTGCCGCTGGCCATGGTCAATCTGCAGTTTGGGCACTGGTGCAGATTGGCATCTCGGCTAAGAAATTGGCAACGAGAGCATTTGAATACGTAAGGGTTCGTTATTTGTTGGTATCTTTGATGCTCCAACTCGTAGTGGTTCAATAGCTGCCGTAAGGACACAGTACGGCGGAGGAACCTGCCCGGCACAGTTGAGGCGTCTGAGAAGGAGGCCACGGAGCTGTTATGGCTTTCGCCTTGACACTCCCACAGCTTTGTGTTGTTATTGATCAGCCGGCCGATGGGGAAGGCGATAGGCTGCTGTGTGAAGTCTCGGCCGCGGCTGGGTGCCTCGGCAATGAACTCGTCCGGGTTAGATACACCTGTTCCCTTGCGTCCTCGAGCTGCTGCTTGAGCATGGCGTTCTCTTTTTTGGTTTGCTCTACTTCTCGCTGGGCCTCGCGGAGCTTATCCTGTTGGCGTTCGGCCCCCTCCTTGTTCTTGCGGGTTATAGCCGAGATTCTGCTAACGAGCGATCGGACCGACGGAGGCCTGGCCGCTAAGCCGGGGCCCCCTTGTCCGCCCTCTCTCGTGTGAGAACTGGACGCCAGTTCCGACACTGGAGGCGATCCCTCCGGGGTGCCCCATTCAATATGCCCATGGAACTCAGTTGGGAGTGGGAGGTTCTCGAGCATCTTTTACCGCCAGGCGCCGCTCGACTGCTGGGAGGTGGTATCTTGCACGTTGCCCGTAGTGCATGAGTCGCTCTCCTCGCCCTCGAATTTTTCATCCACGAGTGACATCAATGAAAGAGAGAGAAGCATGATGGTCTCGAGATGATCTGCAACATGTCTGGAGAGATCTTGCATCTGAGGACCAGAGCATGTTTTCCCCAGTGACTCGTGTGTGCTTCTGGGCGGGTCGTTCGCTCTTGCCTCTACCGCGTTTGTCGGAATGGGGGTAAATCTGCAAAGAAGACATGCAGATATTGGTCTCGGCAGGTTGGTTGTGTAGTTGTCGACCAGCCTGGATAGATGCGCGGGATCTTGAGGCGTATTATTCTCTTCAGCGAGAATCGCCTGTTTGGCACGGCTCCCCGATGATATATCCTCCGTAGAAGGCTCTGCTAATAGCTTTTGCAGCTCTGAGGGAGTCAAGTGGACGTGGTACACTGCGATATGGTCTTGCAGTTCCTGCTTGCTGGAAAACGCATAAGTTGACGCACTGTCATGGAGTCCCTGGCATAGCCACTGGGATCCCTGATGGACAAGATCTGGCCAGGTTTCCGAATGGAGACCTGCTTGCCCGTGTCCTCCTTCACCGCGGAGATGTCTGTTCCACTCTTGGTATGAGGAGAATGCGGGCCGCTCAGCTGCGCAGCTCTCCGCAAGGCAGACATAGGGATGAAGGTCGTGTCTGTAGTGGCGTCTGGTTAAGGGTCGGAGGAAGATTAGAACATGTTTAGATATTGGTCCCATCGGCCAAACGCGAAACCGCCAAATATAAACATACCTTCCTGCAGAGGTCCAGACACAGCTACCGCCCGCCCTCTCTTTGATCCACAACGGATTCATCTTCTGCAGGCACCATTCGCATTTGCGCACACCGTCATTTATTTGAGGCACATCTGGTGCGTACGATACGGTCCCGTGTTATACGTATCACGCCGAGGTCACGTCACCAGGAGCGGGGTGATTTTTACCTGGCTGGCCTGTGCTGCCACACCTCCTGGCCTCCCTTGTGGGGCGAGCTCGAGGACAAGGTCAGGAGCAGCAGCATGGGCGGCGGCTGGGCGGGCGTGAGGGAGAAGCGGTTCGGGCGGCGGGAGATGACGCCCGAGAGGAATGAGGTGGAGGTCATCTCGGGCCTCGGGACCGGAGCCCTCATGCAGCTGTTGAGGACGCCACCCTTGGGCCATATTTATTGGTTGCAACACTTCGGGACCTAACAGAAGAGAATTGGCGCCCTGTTTTGGGGCGGAGAGCGCGGCAATCCATAAACCCAAAAATAAGCCATGTTCCAGCACACTCGTGGCCGGCCAATCCGCAATCAATACCGTCCTTGGGCTTGTTTTTCGGGCGTTGGGCAATCGGGGCTGCCCTACCATTGTGCTCCCATCGACAGTCACCCCAAAAACCCGTTCACATGGAGCCTAGGAAACGGCTCCACCCTGGCCATCGATTGGTTCGAGTTCCCTTGCCCCCCGCGGCAGGCCCTCAACCTGATGGGAGGCATTAACTCCCGGGACCCGGATGTGTATGCCTACGAAGACCTCGGCGTCGCAGTGCACGCGACGGCCATTGGCGCCCCGGTCGGCGTGTACGGGGCCTCGACGAGCATTTCCACGGCAGGGATGGATCAAACCGTATCGCGGCTCGGCCGTGCGTACGGGTCGGACGTGCTTTCCACCACGCAATGCGTCCGAACCATGGTCGCAAATCCAGTATCCTGCCGCGCCGAGGGGGAGTTTGGCTTTGACGACAAGGGGGCCATCTTCGTTCGGTCGCGCGACGGGTTTTGTAGCGTTTCTAATACGAACGGGAGCGAATGCAGCGGGGACATTGCTATGATCAGCGGTCTCTGTTCCTTTCCGGAAATCAGACGAGCAACTATTCTCCTCGGCGCCAGGCGCAATTACAGGGACATTTTGGCCGGGACAATCGGGGAACCGTCCGCCAACGGAGGAAATATCACTGTTACCTGCACCGTGGACGCGCGGGACGTGTTCCGCTATCGAAACGTTACGCTCAACTTTCGCGACGCCGAGGGGATCGCCAAGACGAATCTGGGACGGCAGCTTAGCGGGTCAACCGAGGACTGCGGGGCGTTCCGTACTGAAGACAACGTCGCGCTTCTAGCCATGGCCTCGATCGCGAGCAAGCAGAGCCTTTCCCAGTGCGCAGCCAGTGGCTTCTTCGACGCGATCAACCAGTTCACCACCGATACACGGAGGACCGACCAGAGGTCAAGGGGGCCGCCCTTTGCCTTTTCCAATTCTCGGAATGCTCTGGAGGACGTCCTCGGGCTAACGACCGCGCTCGTCACCACACGGTTTAACGGTACGCCGATTGAGGTACCCGCTACCGCGACCGTCGCGGTTTCGCGTGTTGGGAGCGGCGAGGCGTTCGGGCTGGTGTATCTGGTTCCGCATTTGTTTGCTGCGGCCGTCTTGATCGCTCTGATGGCGACGAATATGCGAGGAAACACAAAAGTAACCGCGGCTCAGCTCAAAAACTTGCCGACGGAGCTCCTCGCTTCCTCCGCCGAAAAGCGGCCCTTGATATAAAGAAAGAAAGCCTTTGATCTATCACCTCGGCGCCTAATAAGCCTATTATTATTAGTTAGACTTTCTTCACTCCTATTTTAACTTTTAAATTTTACTGATTACATGTATCCTTTGCCTGGCCACCCATTGTTTGCTTTGCCAAATCTACCGCTTCTTTCACTTTTGCGCACTTTAACTCGTTCGAGTCCCCCATCCAAGGCGCCCACATCGCCGGGGAAAAAAAAAGTGGTTGATCGTGGGGGTGCCCGGGGGAGAAAGGCAACACTGACACCAGCGACAAAGGAACAAAGAATTGGGCGTGCATGCGCGGACCATTCCCTTCATAGTTTTCTGGGCACATTACAGGCGTACGGATTGAGCTGCCCATTCATCGGGGCAGAGGTGTATTCGGTATCAAACCTCGTGGTGATTCTGTCTTGATGGCTGTGGTTGACAGGGAGCATAGCTGTCCCCTTTGGCCAATGGGAGGCCAGAACCTGGCTTATTTGGGTAATACAGGGGATGTTGCGCCCACCCGCCCGCTTTTCCGCTTTGTGGTAAATCGAGGTCCAACAGCGTTACTGAAAGTTTAGGGCAATTATTCAACGCAAACCCTCGGGACGGAATTACCCAAACAGGGTGAAAAGGCCCGGACTTCGTTCCGGAATCGCTCTGGCCCTTGCCAGAGGACTGTTGTAGATGTCATTCGCGCCACCTGTGAGTACGAGCGAGGGAGCGTGGGAACAATAACTACTACGTGGCCAACATGTGGACGCGGACACATGGATGAGAACCCATTTTGGGAGTCGGGGCAGTGTCCTAGCTTGAGTTCGTCAGTACAACCGGCGACATGTCCAAGGCCCTTGCTGTTAAGGCATATCCTCAGATTTGGTGCTTGCGAAATTGCTTCTTTTCCGCGAAAAAACGTCAAGTTAATCTGCCAGGGCATTATCACTATCCAGTTCGCCGGCCCTGCCTGTCACACTGCGTTAAAGCTCAGTAGGTTAAAAAATATCAAACAAAAATACAAAACATACAACACCGAGGATTCCCCAGTGGTCACCCACCTGAGTACTAGTTCGGCCCTCACTGGTTTG